TGCACATTGGGAGGGGCATGGGGTGGGTATAGGTTTGTGGGGGGCTGTGGATGTGTGGGGTGAGGGAGCACATGGGTGTGTATGGATTTGTGGGGTGTGGGTGGCTGCGTGTGAGGTGAGGGTGGCTGGGGTATGAGGGGATGTCTGCATGTATGGCAGTGCGAGGGTGGTGTGGGTGCATGGGAATGGTGGGGTATGTGTGGGACTTGTCCTATGAACACACACGTGTGCGCGCGCACACACACACACACACACACACACACACTCTCTCTCTCCTGCTCCTGGCCCTGGAGTACCAGCACAACCCCGTGCTCCCACAGTCCAGTAATGCAGCCTGGGTCCGCGTAGTGCTGGAGTAGGCATACAGGGAAGCAGTAAAAGCCAGGGCAGGCAAAAGCTTCCATGAGAGGGGGTGAGGCCCAGCTGGCCAGCCTAGTTCCTGACTCCTGCCAGCTTCCCCTGGGTCTTACTGCCCTGGCTCCTGTCATCTTTGACAGGCAGCCAGGAACACATAAATATTAATTTTCTAAACTTTTTAGGTGCCCTGCAGGCCAGATAGAATGGCCTGGTGGGCCGGAGCCAGCTTGTGGGCCATAATTTGCCTGCCCCTCCATTAAACCTTGAAGATCTGGGGTATAAAATCTGCTTGGCTGGTCTCTCAGCAAACACAATGAAACACTACTTTCCGTCAACCAAGGAAATAAAACTGTATTTACATGCTATTATGGAAGGACAAAGTACTACTCTTATTCTCCTACCTCATAGATAGATCTTAAAACAGCATTTCTAAGCACTATATTTATCACTAGACAAAAAAAAAAAAATCTAGCACATGAAAAAAATAATAGTTCTTCCATGCTCTGAAACAGAAAAATAAGGTCAAGTGATAAATAATGATAATAAATAAGGATAAATAAACCTACAATGATAAATAATGTTTGAATTCCTACAAAATTCAGAAGTCATCCAGGAGGAGAAATGCGAAATGCTGCATCAATTATTTGATAAATTATCATTAAATATATAAATATATAAAGTATATCTATTAGTAAAGTACGTTAAGCAACAACAGCATGGGTACATCTTCCATCTTCGTGGCCCTAGAACAGCTCCCTTCTGGCTGAAACTTGCATCAATACCATGGCCTTGGGGAAGGGAAGGGGCCTGAGAGATATAGAAGTGGCATAAGAACGAGCATGGGCAGGCACAGGCACAAGCCAAGCCCTGCGGCTCCATGGACCAGATCTGGCCTGTGGGCCCTATTCTTCAACATCAAAAAGCCTGACTATTAAGCCAGAAAGAGAAATATGGGTCTGTAATGCATGGTATTTTTCTTCTGAGAATGCAGTACATTTGTAGAAGTCAAAAGCATTTTTCTTTCCACTACAGAATCCTCATTGTGGTCAACAAACAAGGAGCAAGTCTATTCCCACATGAGAGAGAAAAATACTTCAGAAGACTATTATGTTGCAGGGAGGTGGGAGGTGGGTACACAACCTTAAATAAGAATTTTAATACATTTCTTCTTGTTTATGATTCTATAATCTACTGTGGCCCTATTTTATTAGGCTATTATATACAAATTTAAATGTTACCACTTTGTCTGCAGTTGTCCTTGCTTTGTAGTAATACACCTAAATCACACAAATTGTACTTTTCGCAGTGAGTTTTCCAACCATAATTACAAAATGCAATTACATGTGCAAGATGTAAACTTGGTATATTTCTCATACCAGCTTGTTTATACATATCTAGTTGTAACAGCATTTCATCAGTCGTAAGTGCTAAATTCTAATAGAAACAAAAATATTTAGAATGACTATGAGTACTGCTGTTTCTCAGATGACAAAACTAGAGATAAATGACAACATACTGTAAGTTTGAAAATATGTCCTCAGTACCTACAAACCTGAAAATGGAACCTAGTAGCCTAGGTAAAAACAAAAAACAAAAAAACTCCTGCATATCCATGGCCCACCCTCAGACTTCCTCAAAGTATGCTTATTTCATATAAATCACTACCCTCAATCTTGACTCCCTTAACAGCAAATCAACCTTCACTCTGTCCTTAGATAACTAAATTCTGACCTACTCCTCTACAGCACAAACTGTAACAAGTAATGTATTTACCCAAATCCAAGAGAACTTCAAATTTAAAAGAACCTGCCAATAATTAAATTTTAGACATGGAAATTTGTTATAATTATCCATCGATAAAATCTAATTATTGGGGGGTGTCTTAAATTCTTCCCCCACCACCACCACCGCACCAGGGAAATAAAGTATTTTTTAACAAATATTTAAATAGTTCAGTTCTAGATTGCTTTCCCATGAAATATATGAAACCCACCAAGTTCTTCTCACATTCTGTCAAAGTGTTGAATTATCTACTTATGTGTGAAAGAAATGCACCTCAGTTCTCATTTTTTGCCCTCTGCTACCTGTTCCCTCACTGCCACTTGACCTCCTCCCCCAACTGCTTGCCTTCCCCAGCACCTGCCCCCTTGCCTGCAACTGTATGACTTCTCCCCATCTGCCCCCACCCCCCCAGTGCCTGGCTCCCCCTGCCTGTTCCCCACACTGTCACTCCCCTTGCTGCCCGTGCTCCCCACCACCCTTTACCTTTCCATTGCAGCTCTGGCTCCAGCTCTGGCCCCCCTCCAGCCAGGGGCATAGACCATGCAACATATGCTGGCTCTGGCTCCTGCCCAGCTACACAACAGCAGCTGTGGTAGCATCAGCTTGAGTCCCAGCCCTGTAGCCAGGGCTGGAGCTGCTATTACTTGGCCAAGAGGGAACCAGAGCCAGCATGTGTTCCCGTGGGGGGGAGGGGAGGGGGGCGGAGTCTCTTTAATCTACCTTTAGGTTCCCTTCTTTTTATTTCCCATCTGGAAAGGCTCCATTAACCAAGTCCAACTCGGATGACATCTGGGCAGAATTTTTATTCCTTCAGACGTAATAGAAATTTCAAGGCTTACTACTGAGCCACTAGTCTAGTTACCCTTCTTGCCATATATTTTCATATTTTTATCTATTAGCTAAACTTGTTTAACCACACAGGGATATTCTGAGGATGAATGTTTATAAATCATATGAAATATGTAAAGTTCTTGTGGCAGGAAGCCACCTTTGTTTCTCCCCAAAATCTCTGTGCTGTGACAATTTGATTAGGATGGGCCCAGCAGAGGAGACACACCGTTACCCTATCTCTTTAGGTAACCTGAGCTGGCTACATTCCTGAGGGAGGGCGGAAACCTGCTCCCTCTGACTACGTGACTGGTATCAGCTACCTGGGTGAGGGGCTTCTACCTGGTGGGCTAGAGTCTGCCCGGCAACTAGTGATGCATTTCAAACTGGTTGGCCAACAGCCAACAGGTGCTGGCCTCCATTGGACCAGGTGAACAAAGTCACAGGGGCTATATAAGTTAAGACTGCCCAGGAGGAGGGGGCAGCAGCAGCCATGCGGGGGACTCAGACTTAGAGAGGAGTTTTACCATCTGAAACTGGCTCTCCCAAAACTCATGAGCTAGGAACAGCCTGCCTCCAGAGGGAATCTCCAACAGCCTCTGGATGATGCTTGTGAGTAAGCTACTCGAGATCTGATTAGATGTATAGCTAGCAGTAACTCAGATGCGTGATCAAAAGGCTACCTCAGCGAGACTGTTTTGCTCTATGGGATTTCTATGATATTGCTCTATCTTGTACCCTATTTTCACCATACCCCTGTAATCAATAAAGTTCTCCTTTGTGACCAGTGTAGGAGACTTACTGAGAGGTGGGTCTAAATTATGCCTAAGAGGACCCTCAGGTCTGTGGACTAAGAGGGACTTTCCTTTTTGGCCCCTGACTTGGGGAAGTGCCTCAAGTGCTTGTACTGGGTCGCGTACCCATTGGACTATTAGGCCTGTGTTTCCCCGAGGACACAGGGCCGAGAGAGTCCCTTCTCGGGATGGTGGCAGCTTACGTTACCCCAGGCTAGCGCTCCAGGAAGGGGGTCAGCCAGATGCAAGGCACCCCTAGGGAGGCACTCGGAGCCTGGAAGGTGGTCAGGCACAGTGAGGTGGGTGGCTTAACACAGGAGAACCCCCTACTGGCCTGCCACAGTTCTAATTTATTAATTTGGAGAAGCAAATTTTGTTTGGTAATATCCTATACTGGATGTCTGTGCCTAACCATGTCTTTGGGAGACACATCAAACAAGCTTATGAGTACAAAATGCTCTTCGTCATGTCTGAGAAAGAAGCAGATCTACCCAGTGTTTAGCTGAAGCTATAATAATTACTTTTGTTTAACTCCATTATGTAAATGGAAATATTTTCTCTTTTTTGCATATTCCCTGGACCATCGCTGCTATAACTATACAATGACCCTACTACAAACTGCTTATTTAGCACTTGATAAAGTATTAATGTCTTCCACCACCATAAACTCAAATAAATTTGTTAACAACTATCCTGAAGAATTCTCAAATATCTAAGCATTTTGGCACGTCCATAAAGTATTACTACAAATACACAGAATTTACATGAGTATCCTAGTTTTTCAAAACTACAGTGTCTTTGATATGACCCAAAATTATACTTCTTTCTAGAAATAATGAGTAAATGTTTTCACAGTTTGTAACACAACCATATTGCGGTGAAGACGAGGCATATGCTGTAGATATCAACATGGATTTTTTTTAAATTTAAGCTTATGAAGGCAATTCGCTCTACGTGTGTTAATTGCTATCAAAATCAGCATATGTGCGACATGTAAAAGTTCATTACCCTCACAAAGGAATCAGGAATAATTCCATCAATATTACGCTGATATAATGAGCATCATGATTTGCTGAGATGACACCAGGAGAAATAAATGTTATTTCATCATCACAGCTTCTCTTTTATATAGTAGGCAATTGAGTGAGTCAATGAAGTTTCCAAAGAAAAGCACAAAAATGAGATGAGAGAGGCCAGCATGCTTGAATTTGCACAGGTAAAGCAGTAAATTTAACTTACCTCAAATTTAAATAAGTCAACATTTGTAAATTCACTATGGCATCTGGAATAATTTTAATACAATTGTGGTACAGATTCAGTGTTTCCAGTGACACAAAGTGACACAGCTCCATAGGAACTTCAGTTAATCTATTTTTGGACAGATCTGAGGAGAAAAAAAAATCAAAATGTTACTTATTGTTTGAAAGTACAAATTCTGAAATTTGCATTTCAAAACAAAAGACCACAACCCAAGACTGACAGACAGCTGGATACTGTCTCCAAATTGTAGCTTTCTTAAAAGTAAATGACTAGGAATTTTCCTTGCAAAAGTTAGAAAGATGGTATATGCACATTACAGAACAAGTCATGTAACTTCATTCTTTTACATAATCTGTCAAACTAACCTTCCCAGTTTCTGTTATGATTTTTGTCCTATCAAATTATACACTCTCAACAGTTATTTCAAAATTTTGACATGGAACCAACTTGTGATGATGCACAAAAGGTGTGGAACAGCAACAGGGGCACTGCTGATGTGTTCCCTCCACTCATAGTAAACACAGACAAGCTTAAGCACAGGAATACAACAAAAGCCACAGACCATTTCACCTTGTGTGATAAGGTATTTATAGCAGTAGTCATATTCACTGGAATCTGACAGAGCTGCACCATGAGTACTTCTGCTACAGCCTTGAACTGGTGACCTCTGGGCTCTCAATCATGTGCCTAAGCACCCGCACCATCCCAGCCCCGTTATTGACCAGCCAGAGGGAGATGAGAGCTGACTAGCCTGTTGATGAGTCCTCACGAAAGGAAGCCTCTGCTTAGGCCTCTTGAGCTTCTGTCTCAACTTCCTCTAAGTGGCTGCACGGGAAACGCTATGTTTGCAGGATGCTGTTGGTCTTTCAGAGGCCTAGTGGTTGTTTTCAACTTCCTCACTACAATTTGGTTAAAACAGGAGAGGGAGGACTTTGAGACTCAAATGTATCATTTGTGGCAATGTTTATTTTGTTATAACAACTTAAGGCTAGTTTCCAGCACAGACAAAGGGCAAAAAAGGAGAACCTTTCAGTTAACCCACTGATGGGGCCAAACTTTCACAAAACAAAGTACTGTATTGGTAACTTCTGTCCCCCTTAGGGTTTGGTAAGAAGATTCAAAAGAGTAAGGTGAGTTAAATACTATGGGTACACTGCAAATAATTTATCTCAAGTTATGATTTACATGGTAGGTGTCCAAAACCCCTGCATGGACCCTACTTAAATGGTTAGCACATGGCAGTCTGAAGAGGCAAGGAGGATAGCACCCAACACATGTTAACAAAGTTGCAGCCCACTACTTTAAATCCATATCCAGGCCTCTCTTTATTAATCTGTGTGCCCTAAACAATAAAGTTTCCATTACAGCTGGCATATGCTTCAAATTCTGGAGCCTCACAAAAACATACCCGTGGAACAGTTGCAAGATTGCTGCTGCTCATATTTCAAAGCATTTGTGCTTCAAGAGCATGCCAAATATACCTCCTCTTACACAGATGAATACCTACTGTGCAGAACCTTTTCAGGAAAAGTAGCATTTATTTCTGAAGTCAGTCATCACTAAGGTCTTCTAAGGACTCAGTTTAAGATTTGGCTTCCCCTACTTTGAGTGTTTATTTTTCAATGTATTTTTGGAGCGCATAACAGTAATCTTTTGCGCAATGCTATTTAATTTCCTCATAATCAGAGAAGTGGAGACTTGATCAAGCAACCCAGTTAAGTTCTTTGACTATCAACCTTTCAAGCACATCTTTGGATTTAACTTCATTACATCAGCTTCATGACATCATGCACAAAACAATTTCCTCCAGTTAAGCACCCTCAAACTAATTTCACAGAAAAAAGCAGTGCTATCAAATACTGACAAAAACATATACCTGTTCATTATTGGATAACGCTTGCCACACTTGCCATTGGATAACTCTTGCCATCCTGAGCTTCAGGCCTCACTCCTCCACTCACTACACCCTGACACTTTCAATCCCTTTCTCTGCTTTTACAGCACCGATCAGGTTTACAATGCTGATAGAAAACTACCACAAGGATAGATTAGTGCAATCCACTTGAATAAAACATATTGTAGTGCCCATTAAGCAAAGTCCTTCTTATTGCCAGCTCTTTTTGAAGTCATAGAGAGCCATGAAACTTGCACACATTTGACTTCCTCTTCACTCCCACAGCTGGCCTGCACCTTTCTTTCCTGTTTCCAATGATTCCTGCTTCTTCACCAGCCTTAAATGACTGGCAAACATTACCAAATGGGGCTCCAAACAGTTCACCCAGAATCCTTTTCTGCCCTGTCTCTCAGTCTGGCACATTTGATTACTGTGGCCCCATGCTCCATGAGGTGAAGCCAGTCCAGGGTCATCTTTTAGTAAAGTAAATATGGTATATGCACTTGTATCACATTAGATTTAACACATACTAGACAACTGGATGTTGACATGAAAAGATGACTTAACGCTTTTCATCATACTTGCTGCTCAATTACAACTAAAAAAAATTTTTTTTAAAAATCAACCAAAATTAGCCTAAATTCCACTAATGCTACTTATGAAACTAGTTATTAATTATGCAGTAACTGTCATTTTATATTTTAAAATTAATGAATAACCTAGACTCTAACTCCTCAAAACAAAATCAGTATTATAGAATCATAGAATTGTAGAACTGGAAAGGAACTGTAAGATCAAGTCCAGTCCCCTGCGATGGGCAGGAGGTTATTGGGCTCAAAACGGTGCCTGTCCAGCCTCCTCTTGAACACCTCCAAGGATGGTGACTGCACCACCTCTGCTGGGAGTGTTCCAGATTCTGGCAAACCTTACTGAGAAGAATTTCTTCCTTATATCTAGCCTAAATTTACCCTCTAAACACTTATGTCTATTGGTCCTTGTCCTCCCTTGAGGTGCCTCCTGAAGAGTTGCTCACCTAAATCTTGATGTTTACCTCGATGTACTCATAGGCGGCTATCAAATCACCTCTCAGCCTTCTCTTATTCTAACTGAACTGACCCAGTTCCCCGAGTCTCTCTTTGTAGGGCCTATCCTCCATGACCTTGACCATGTGCGTGGTTCTTCTTTGTACCCTTTCGAGCTTATCCATGTCCTTCTTGAAGTGCGGTACCCAGAACTGTACACAGTACTCAAGCAGAGGCCTCACCAGCACCAAATAGAGAGGAAGGAGTGCTTCCCTGGATCTAATGGACACACATCAGCTGATGCAAACCAGAGTTTTATTTGCTTTCCTGGTGACCTCATCGCACTGCTGGCTCATATTCATCTTCTGGTCAATCATAACCCCCAGGTCTCGCTCAGATGCTGTGCCAGCCAGTGGGCCACCACCCACTGTGTAGTTGTGGTAAGGGTTCTTCCTACCCAGACAAAGGACTTTGTACTTATCCTTGTTAAATCTCATCTGATTCTGTTTTGCCCGTGAGTCTAGCCTGTCAAGGTCATACTGGATATTGACCCTATCTTCCAGTGTGCCTGAATTTCCCCACAGCTTGGTATTATCCACAAACTTAATAACTGAGTTTTCCACCACCTCATCCAAATCATTAATTAATATATTAAAGAGCATGGGTCTAAACCACCAATCTCCGGGGGACACCACTTTACATTCATGGGATGGCCTCATCCTTGAAGGCCATCTATACACCTTATCACACTTTTCACATCTTATCTTAAAAGTATAGCAAACATTTTTTGTGTTGGGGGAAGGAAGGTTGTTCGTTTTGTTTGTCTGGGGGTTTTTTTGGGGGAGGGGTTGTTGTTTCTTTTCATTTAAAAAAAAAAAAAAAAACAGCTCAGTTAAAATTCCTGACAACTAAAGTTAATCTAAGCAGATGGAAGAATAATTATGGTGGGGATTTTGAATTGCAGCATATTTGCTGCTCATGGAAGTTAAGAATAAAAGGTGCTGAGGCAGCAATTTATGCTAATGAGGTATCAAGTGAATTAATTTTAATCACAGTTAGAACATTACTCCAGTTCAACTGACTTTGCTGACAGCATTCTTGACTTTGATTCCATTTATGTTCAAATACAAAATTAGGAAAACAAAAGCAATTTGCAGATGAACATACTGCATTTCCTCACATATAACATGATTTGCAGTGTGTTTAATAGTTACAAAAACTGCCTGACTGACCACCTCTGGTGACTCTTGTTAGGAATTAGTTAGGCTACATGTGCATTAAAATACATTGGTTCAATGGGGTGAGGGAAATATATCCTAGACACAGATCCTTATGCTTTTTTAATTGAAATATCTGACTAATTCATTGTAGCTGATATTAAGAGATTTTCAAACTACATTTGGCTTCACAAAGTTTTACTCCTGCCAAGAAAAAGCTTGCTATATCTCCAAAATAAAGTAATGAAATGCAAAAAAATAAGCAAGTCAGTCTATAAAAATATTAGGTGGAATTAATCTTTCAACAGTCAGCACAATTTTGTAGCAATTATATTGTTTTTGTATCATAAAATTATGGTACTGAGTTGGAGACTAGACAAGAACCCAATACAATACACAAAACAAACTTCTTTAGCTGTGGATGAGCAACAATAAAGAGAAGAGCAGATTAGAAAATAAAACTGTGTTGTCTTTTGTTACATGTTTCTACAGTGGCTAGCACACTGTGTTCTTGGCCAGTGTATTGCTACCGTAATACTAATCACAACCATCTCCAGGGCAGACTGCATCTTCCTATGTTTACACTGTTCCTATTATAATGGAATCATAACCCTATAACAAACCATTTGCTGGTGAAAGGTCAATTAAGTCAGCTAACACAAAACTTGCAATACATTGACCCCAAAAACCTCCATCTGTCAAGAGCTAGTACTGCCTTTAGAGTTCTAACATTATATTTTTCTTGTATGATTAACAGTACTGGGCTCTTTTTTGTGTTCCTAAAGTAACTAACCAAATCTGTTTTTTATGAGCCATAAGAAATACTGTCATACAAAAAAAGCCAAAGTTCACATAGGTTAGAATAACAATTAAAGAAATATATTTGACCACATACACAATCAACCATATCTCATACCACATTTTTAATAATGGAGATGGTTTACAAAAAATAAAATAAATAATCTTCTTTTAAGGTTTCAGATGATGATA